GCTGATACTGCTGCTGCTGTCTGCATCACCCTTCTTGTTGTTTGTGAGTTCAGGAGGAAGTGTTGTTGTTGTTGTGGTGGTGGTATCTGTATTACCCATATCATTTGGGTTATTTGTTGATCCACTTCCTAAAGGGGTGACGTCTTTCAAAGGAGAAGAAGATTTTGCGCTGTTACCGTTTTGAGGCCGTTCAACATTATTCTCAGTTTTACCGTTTTTATTGTTCCCGACGTGAGAACTCTGAGGTGTATCCGATACCGGATCCTGAACTACGGTATTCTGGTTATCTGAACTACCAGAGCCACCCGTATTCTGTTGACTGACAGAATTGGGTGATTGGTGCCCATCTGTTTTAGGTGTTGTTTCATTTGATTGCTCTCCAGATATCTGTGATGCTTCCGCCTGATTATCTGTCGTACCAGAAGTTACTTGATCATCACCACGGGTTGATTCCTCCACTTGTTCTTTATCAGTACTTTTTCGACCTTGGTCCATGAGTGTTGGCCCACTATCAGGCACGTTTATGGACGGATCACTTTTCCCCAGTCTGCTACTCTCAGACATATCACTCCGCTCAACTCCAGGACTACCAGGAAGACCATCAACACCAACAGCACCCGGTTTACCCTCAGCGGATGCTCCATCATGAGAAGAAGCCAGAGGAGCATCTGCCAGAGGTGGTGGTGGATGTTGCTGCTGGACTGTAGGGTTAACAGGGACCTCTTGAGGACCGAGAGAACCTTCACTTCCCATTGGCCCAGAGACTGTTGACGGCTTGTTACTTGTTGTTTTTTCTAATTTATCGGACCCATGTTTTCTTATTCTTTCTCTATCCTCATCACTTCTATCCCCATCTTTCTCCTCATCCTCCTGAAGTTCCTCATCCTCATACACCATCCAACTTTCAGCATCCGCAGAAATAGCATGACTAACAAGAGAAGGAACACCAACAGTAGAAGGTTTAATAAGGGCATCAGAAGGTTTAGGACTATCAGCCCATACTAACCCACAAGCACAACAAAGTGCAAGAGTTAGTAAACAAAAGAGGTAGCACCTCACCATTACAGCCTTTGTCATTGTTGTTGTTTTACTTCAATAAACTAATACAAGAAAAAGGAAGGAAAACAAAAAATAATTATGACAGAAGCAAAGAAACACACACCAATACTCAAATACTCACAGTGAGAGTGAGAGTGGAGCATCAACTGCACAGTAAAGCAAGAAAAAGGAATAGACCGCTTGTATGATAATAATATGTACCCCTTAATAGAAAAAAGAAAACACCACCATACCCAAATAAGAGAGAGAGCCAAACACACACAATACCCCATGGCTCTAGTTTATGTATATTAAATTACTGCACACACACACATCTGTGTGTACTAGCAAGAGATGTATACCGTCAGCGAGCAGAACAGCCCAGTTGTCTACACACACAACGGGAAAAGCAAGTAATGAAATTATTCGAAAAAGAACACACACACATGAAGGTAAAAAAAAATTTGAATTGAAAGAGAAAGCTGGTAAACAGATTATTAATGAATTCATTCACCCATGGGGGATGTACGCAATTATGATTATGTTAGTTTAACTATTATTATTTGCTCTAAGATGATTCCCACTGTTCAGTACACGGTAGCGGAGAACAACACAGCCACAATCAGTAGAGGCACACGCACCCACACAGAACTGATATTGCTGCTGTCTGACTTACGCTTCTTTGGTGGTTTGTCATTACTCTTTGCAGAGATAGGAGGCAGTACTGGTGTTACTGCGGGTGAATTCTCTTTAATGGGTGCAATAGGAATGTTTCTTGCCGTTTCACTCTGTGCATGGTTAACACTCTGTTCATTAGTTGATGGTGCCTCAGTATTCGCTGCTTGATTAACATTCTCTCCATGGTGTGTTCTTGCAGTTTCTGGGGACTCTTTACTCTGGGAATCAAGAGATGTAGGGTCGGGGTTAGAAGCAATAGCCTTACGAGAAGAACGATCACCACCGACAATACGATTACCAGTAACAGAAGGAGCAGCACCAACAATAGGAACAGCATTAGACACACCGGGATAATCAGGATGACCAACATCAGCGTTAGAACCAGTTGACGGAGGTGGATTAGAAGGAACATTACTGGAACGTTTCCCACCCACAGGAACAGTCCCAGGCACTGCTGGATGTCCATTAACACTGGGAACAGTATCAAGAGCAGAAGGAGCCCCATTAGGAAATCCAGGAACAGCAGCAGAAGAATCAGGAACTCCCGCACCAAGTCCAGATAGTTTACGAGGATCAGCTTCTGTGTTTGTAAGTAACACCGTAGATACGTCTTGAGGGTCAGTCTCATCCTCTTTGAGGACACCATTAATCAGAGTAACATTTTTACCTGGTTTAAGTTTATCACCAATTCCTGGCCGACCACCAACACCAGCATCGGCTGTAGAGAGAAGAGATCCCCCATCAGAACCCTTAACACCAGGATATCCAGGAATAGCAGGAACAGGAGCACCAGAAACAACACCACCAACTCCAGGAACAACACCAGGTGCCTGAATAGAACTAGCGGAATCTCCACCACCATTCGGAGTCTTTTTAGCTGTACCAGGAACAAAAGTACCTGGAACAGCTGCAGCACATGGAATCTGAACAAACTTATCACCGACTACAACTCCCCTTGTGCCATTGGAAGGACATTCACTCGAAGAAATACCATGAAGTTTAGATTCAGGAGGAACACCAGGAATAGCACCAGGAACTCCAGCTCCGTTAACACCTGTACCAAATGCAGGAACGCCAACAGCACCAGAAGTGGGGTGAACACCATGAACACTACCAATACCGTGCCCAGCAGGTTGAAGTCCAGAGACAGAAGGCTGAACGGCTTGTGGTTGAGAGTCACCTTGTGCAGATGACAAGCATCCATAGGCGCAGCTCAGCATGAGAACCAACAAACAAAGTAAGTGGTGCATCATCTTCCTCATAGTGATAATGGTCGCAGTGGGTTTACCTTTAAAACAATAGAGTTTACCAAAGAAATAATAGAAAGTAAAAAGAAATAATCAAAACACAACACAAAAAAAAATAACAAGGAACAACCCATAGAAGAAAAATCATAAACAACATCAGCCACAAAACGTAATAAAACAACATAAATTCAATAAAGGTAGATATAAAATTAAGCCAATTAGCACAGGGGTTTCGCGAGTAAGGCATACAATTACCCAGAAAACCACAAGCAAACAACCAGAAATTAATCATTAGCCCAATTTACCCAGTAAACACAAGAAATACACCAACTATGGGTGTAAGTTTATATGTGTGTATACGCCATTATAAATATAAATTCATCTGTTATTATTATTTCTTTTCCTTTCACTGCAAAAAACAATTCATTATCATCATCACAGTGCAAGCCCAGGCACACACAGAGAGTCTCCAAGAACACACACACACACAATGGAGTAGCAATAATAATTATTATAGGATAAACACAGAGAGAGCAAAAACACACACAAAACACACATTAACATTAAGAAACAAAAAAGAAAGAGAATAGCCCAACATATGGAAGATTAGTTAGACTGTAGGGATTGCATGCAAAAAAGAAAACAAAGGATGACCTGAGTCACTACACCACACCACCACCATTAGCACAATCAGCACACAAGAATACAGGCCAGTGTAACCACAATCAGTAGTGGTACACGCACCCACACAGAACTGCTGATACTGCTGCTGCTGTCTGCATCACCCTTCTTGTTGTTTGTGGATTCAGGAGGAAGTGTTGTTGTTGTTGTTGTTGTTGTTGTTGTTGTTGTTGTGGTGGTGGTTGTATCTGTATTTCCGACATTAGATGAGTTATTTTGAGGTTCATCCTCTGGAGAAGTAGTGCCATTTCCAGTGTTTGCAGTATCAGAACCACCGGCATTATCTTTCTCTGAAGTTGTGGGAGAAGAAGGTTGTGTTTCCTCAGCATTCGCATTATCTGATGCACCTTCACCTGGTGCACTGCTGCCGCTGCCTCCAGCTTGACTGTCGCCTTCAGTCGGAGCAGCACTCTCCTCAGCAGAAGAAGAAGAAGCAGCAGTGAGAGGAAGTGCCTCAGGAATACCAGAAGAAGAACCACCATTAGAACCACCACCAGTTCCATTCACAGTAGCACCAGAACCAGAGTGTTCACTAGATTGATCTAGACCCTCTTGTGGACCTTTAGCGGTTTCTTTTGGTGGATTATTTGCTGGTTCCTTTGGTGTTGTTGGTGCTCGTTCCTTGGGTGCTGGTGGTTGTGGACAAGGAGGTTCAGAAGCTTTACGGCAAACGACTTCATTTTCACCACCCTCGGTAGGGCAACTTTCAGGCGGAGAAGAGTTCTCACAATTATTCTGAGTACCTTCACCTTTATTACCGCCAGTAGGACACTGTTTACCATCAGTTTCAGTTTTACATTCTTCACCAGTAGGAGTTTGAGGTAGAGAAACACTCTCAGCTACAGCTGTCGCTGCCACACATGCACAGGCAGTGCTCAGAAGCAAAGCCATAAAACAAAGTACACAACGCCGCATCATCAGCAGAATAGTTTTTCCTTTTCTTTTGCTCTCACAAATCCCAGAAAGATCAAAATGAAAAGGCGAAAAACAACATCGATAGAATAGAGAAACAAAGATATGCAAAAAAAAAGTGAAAGAGAATAAAAAGATATAAAAGTCAAAGAACAACAACAACACCAACACAAATAATAAAAAATCAAAAACAAGGGCCACAACGCACAACGCACAACCATAATAAAAACAAAACAATTAAGAGAAGAAACAAAGCAACATCAAACACAGAATCACCTCAGAACTCTCGGTATACATAAACTAATAAGCAATTATAAATATAAATGTGCATCAGTTATTATGTGTATTACCCCTTAAACCACAACAACATAACAACGCAAGGCACACACACAATACCCACAAAACAAAAGCAAATAAAGAATCCTTCACAATTAGCCAATATACCTAGTAGACACAAGAAATATACAACAACTATGGGTATAAGTCTATATGTGTGTATATACACGCAATTATAAATATAAATTCATCTGTTATTATTATTATTATTATTTTTTCCCTTTCACTGCAAAAAGCATTTCATCATCATAGTGCAAGCCCAGGTGCACAAAGAGAGTCTCCAAGAACACACACACACACACAATGAAGTAGCAATAATAATTATTATAGGATAAACACAGAGAGCAAAAACACACACAAAACACATTAACATTAAGAAACAAAAAGAAGAAAAGAATCCCAACAGGTGGAAGATTGGTTAGACTGTAGGGAATGCATGCAAAAAAGGAAAAGAAAACAAAGCAAAGGATGACCTGAGTCACTCCACCACAATCAGTACACAATCAGCACAGAAGAATACAGGCCAGTGTAACTACAATCAGTAGTGGTACACGCACCCACACAGAACTGCTGATACTGCTGCTGCTGTCTGCATCACCCTTCTTGTTGTTTGTGAGTTCAGGAGGAAGTGTTGTTGTTGTGGTGGTTGTAGTGGTGGTAGTAGTGGATGAATCCTCACTGGTTGTTGTGCCGTTGTCAGCATTTCCAGTTGCAGAGGTTGTTGTCCCCTCATTTTCCTGTAGTGAAGTTGCTGCAGGGGTTTCAGTAGTTGTTGAAGAAGAAGATTGTGCGTCTGTACCTTGTTGGTTCGATATGGTTTCACCTTTTGAACTTTCGCTGTTAGCATTCAGATCCTTCTGCTGGTTCTCTTGTGTGTCTGCAGACGATGGTTCCTTCACCTGAGGAACGGAGGTCTGTGAAGCGTCAGGGATTCCATTTGGTCTACTGGCAGAGTGCAAAGTTTGCTGCTCCTCAGTTTCTTTTTGAGATTCCTCATCTTCTCCAGCTTTTACATTCGTGTTTACATCCTTTGCTGGTGATAAGCCACTCGCTCCACGTTGTTGTGTTTTATCGGGATCCGGCGCATCGTTGTGATTAGCATCCAGCGTTGTTCGATCGTGATCACCATGGGTTGTTTTGGGTGGAGCAGCAGGATGTTGTTTGGGTGTTGGTCCTCTTTCAAGAGTGATATGTGAATTTCCGTGTAAATTGTCTTGACCATTCCCATCCCCTTCTGCAGCTAATGCTTTGGGTTCAGGATCACGACCATCCTCACCATGTTTTCCCCCTTGGTGAACCGTAGGATTAACACCAACTGGACCTTTATTGGGGGGAATAATACCGGAAGGTTCACCACCACCAGGACAATCAGACTCAGAACCACCAGAACCAGAAAGGCAACGAGATTCAGGCTCAACTTTAGGACCAACTGCAGCAACTACAGCAGCCCCGCTAGCGGACACGCAGAGAGAAGCAACACTCAGCAAGAGAGCAAAACAACACAACAAACGTCGATGCACACTCATCACAAGAAGTTTTAATCCTCTTTTTTTTCTTGGGTATATGAACTGGTAAAGTAAAAAAACAAGCAAACAAACATATATAAACCATTAGCCGAATTTATCCAGGTAAACAAAGAAATACACCAATTATGGGTGTAAGCCTATATGTGTATGCATACACGCAATTATAAATATAAATTCATCTCTTACTATTATTTCCTCTTCCCACTGCAAAAAAACAGATATTAAACGTTAGCCCAACTTACCCAGTAAACATAGAAATATACACCAACTATGGGTATAAGTCTATATATGTGTGTATATACGCAATTATAAATACAAATTCATCTGTTATTATTTCTTTTTCCCACTACAAAACGCAGTTCATCATCATCATCACAGTGCAAGCCCAGGCACACACACAGAGAGTCTCCAAGAACACACACACACACACAATGGAGTAGCAATAATAATAATTATAGGATAAACACAGAGAGAGCAAAAACACACACAAAACACATTAACATTAAGAAACAAAAAAGAAAAAGATAATCCCAACAGGTGGAAGATTAGTTAGACTGTAG